AAGCCATCTGTCTGAAAGTTGAAATGGAAATTAATTTTTCAAAGTCATAATGATCATAATCACACCAGGAAATCCACCAAGGAATGGCTCAAAGTGAAAAAGATTGGGATTCCTCCAAATTGTTGTAGAGCAATTTAAAATGGGTAATTCATGTAAGGAAGCAAACAAACATCTTGAAAACTGAAAACATATTCATGGAACATTTTCAATGATATGATGTGAGAGAGTGGTAGATAATGATGGGCCAAACACCCCCCTGTTCGGTTCGCGGATGAATATTTGAACCTACTGAAAGTTCGACCGTGAACTTCGAACAGGGACAATTTACTGAGCGTTATCTTCTGGTATCATCTGAGTATGCGGTAAAATACCGCTCAGCTACTAAAATACAGAATGAGTTATATTATGAAGTCATGTGGTATTTTAGTAGTGAAATACTCTTTAACAGCTTCCCCTCCACCCTATAGCAGAAGTACTGCTACACAGTGGCAGAGGTGCACAAAATCACATATATATATATATATATATATATGTGATTTTGCATTTCCAGGTAGGGGGCTCGTGTGAGCCGGATATGACTCGGTGGGGGGTCAATTACTGGAACCGTGGTGAGAAGAACAGCGTACCTTGATTAAAAAGTTGATTGGAGAGGGGAAAACATATAAAGAAGTGCAGAAAATGATAGGCTGCTCAGCTAAAATGATCGCAAATGCTTTAAAATGGCAACCAAAACCTGAAAGACGTAGAAGAAAGCGAAAAACTACCATTCAAATGGATAGAATAGCCAAAATGGCAAGGACTCAGCCAACAATCAGCTCCAGGAAGATCAAAGAAGGTGTAAAGTTACCTGTGCGTACTGTTACAATTAGAAGACGCCTATGTGAAGCCAAGCTATCTGCAAGAAGCCCCCGCAAAGTCCCCCTGTTGAAAAAAAGACGTGCTGAAGAGGTTACAATTTGCCAAAGAGCACATTGACTGGCCTAAAGAGAAATGGCACAACATTTTGCGGACTGATGAAAGTAAGATTGTTCTTTTTGGGTCTAGTGGCCGGAGACAGTTTGTCAGACGACCCCCAAACACTGAATTCAAGCCACAGTACACTGTAAAGTCAGTGAAGCATGGTTGCGCAAGCACCATAATATGGGATGTTTCTCATACTACGGTGTTGGGCCTATTTATCGCATACCAGGGATCATGGATCAGTTTGAATACATCAGAATACTTGAAGAGGTCATGCTGCCTTATGCTGAAGAGGAAATGCCCTTGAAATGGGTGTTCCAACAAGACAACGACCCCAAACACACCAGTAAACGTGCAACATCTTGGTTCCAGACCAACAAGATTGACGTTATGGAGTGGCCAGCCCAATCTCCGGATCTTAATCCAATAGAAAACTTGTGGGGTGACATCCAAAATGCAGTTTCTGAGGCAAAACCAAGAAATTGAGAAGAACTGTGGAATGTAGTCCAATCATCCTGGGCTGGAATACCTGTTCACAGGTGCCAGAAGTTGGTTGACTCCATGCAACACAGATGTACAGCAGTTCTCAGAAACAGTGCTTATAAATATTAATTGATTCAAAGGAAAGCAAAATCTTCAAACATTTTTCAGTTTATATAGTGAATGTTTGAGTTTGTAAAGAAGAATACAAACACTGCTATTTTTTTGAACAGTCTAATATTCACTTTTCTTCAATTTTTTTAGAGGAACAATACAAATTTGATATATTTTTCTTCATGTTTTGATTTGGAATAGAATGTGTAGTGTTCCCAATGCATTTGTGTGTATGGAAATAAAAGCTATTAGAAGGATTTTGAGCTTTATTAACTTTTTTCAACACACTGCTATTATTTTGAACACAACTGTACATAGGTCTATAATATACAAATATTAATGACAAGTTGAAGTCCTAGTTCTCCAGCCAACCGACACTGCCCTTGCACATTGCTTTAATAAGCAACTCTCATGTTCCCAGAACAGTTCAGTTGATTAGAGTACTGTGTAGGGAAAGTGTCAGACTACAAGACACCTAGGCACTCCTTGTGTGTGAAATTAGTGCTGTGACTTTCCAGTATTCTGTTAGCACAGGGTGTTGACAAAAAGTCCATCCCCTTAACCCCATTACGCCGGCCGCACACAAATGTGCGGCCTCCCGGCATCTGGACTTAGACCGTAAGTGTTTCAAAGAAAAAACATATGTGTTGAGAGCACGCGCCCTGCACGCTCTCGGCACACATGTCCGGTACTCACGGAAAGGTCCCGGTCTGCTCTTTTGATTGGGACCTTTCCCGATCATGTGACCGCTGTGACGACATGTCACGGCAGTCACATGATCCCTAAACCATGCCCCACCCTCCCCGCCTCCCGACATCTGAAACTCTTAAAGGACCGGGAGGCGCCGGCGGGAAGGTGTTAAAAAAGAGGGTATGCATACCTTTAAATGTTGGCATATCTCCTGATATGGTACTTTACTAAATATTCATCTTGATTTACTAATACTGGAGAGTGCAAAATCTGATGCAGGTCTGCATAGAAACCAGTCAGCTTCTAGGTTTTATTTTCAAAGTTTAACATGGAGCCGCTCTTCATCGAGCACCACAAACCAAAAATGCTATTACATTTATTTGTGATTTTCAAAGCAAAATTTATCCATGTCTCCATGCTTTATTTTACTGAGAAATCACTTTGAAAATTCCCCCTAGAATTTCTGGCTGTGTCCATCTTGAGTAAGGGTAGATGATTCATACAGAATTTACTTCCCGGAATCCATCTGCCCTTAGCTCAAGTATGCAGGCAGAAAGATATGCTCAGCTAAGAAACCTCTCCTCCCCTCCTGAAGACTCCTGGGATATATTACATCATTTGCTTAAGCCTGGAAACCAGGAAGTAACTGAAGAAATGTATAAAAAAAGATTAAAACAAGTAGATATGATATATTTTTCTATCTATTTACAATGCTAGCAGCATAAGGATTAAAAATAGTTAATGTTGATTAAGAGAGTGAAGTTACACTTTAATTGCTCAAGCTGAAGTTAGAAGCTGATTGGCTACCATGCATAGCTGCACCAGATTTTGCATTCTCCAGTTTTAGAAAATCAAACCCCTTAGAAGTTCAGTTAGAGTCCAGGCTTTCTTCTTTGCTTATTAATAAAAACTTAGCAGGACTTCTAATTTTTCCCTTTGATCTCTTAAGCCAAAAAAGAAAGGTTTAGGTATACATACAGCTTGAAATGTGTATATATTTACAAAATGGTCCTGGCCACAAAAATTGTCATCTATTAGGATTTTAGAATTGCATGGCTACCTACCTAATCCATCAATAACTATGAAGACTGCATTATAGTAATTTGACATTCCTGTGGTCCTTCACTGAATAGAAGTTATGATGATTTTTCGTGTATGACATATACTTGTTAATGAACATTGTGCAGATGCCCTATACATCTAAATACCTAGGGGATGCTCTGATTTACAGGTATATGTTTATTTAATTTATGCCTCATCTATATTTAATCCCTTTAGCTAGATTAATTACTAAGGATATGCCAAGATGTAAGAATCATATCTTTAATAATTTCTGAAATATTATGAACTATAGTTCTTTATTAATTATGAACCGATGGATGGAAGGATCTAATGAGCTGTTATCCAATCTTACTATTAAATCGTGTATGGTCATCTGCATGTATGCAATTTTCTACAGTAGAAGTTATTTAAGATTGATCATCTTAATATATATTCATGGTCTGAGTTATTAGCAGGGTATGGTACTGGAATCCAGAGAAATTGTATGGCACTGTTTTCATGGGGTTAATTGGGTTAGCATTGTATTTATGTAAGAATATTTTTGAATCTTTTAAATGACATTTGTGTCATGGTCAGTGGTCAGGCTCGGACACCAGTAACTATAGCAGTTGAGAGGTTCCCACCAAACAGCAGGGTAAGTACACAAGCAGGATACTCTGGTGGATGATGCTGGCTCACCTGAAATGCAGTGTCTAAGCACTAACTGGTATTCACCAGAGGTCCTGAAGGTGGAGATTGGTTTTGCTGCGTACTAATGCCAAGTCACGGTCCTCAAGGTTGTCCCACCAGGAGGGTGGGTGCTCAGTTAAGCCAGCCATACATGGATCAAAATTCATCCAGTTCAGCAGGGAGCAGCTGAATTTCGATCCATGTAAGGGCAGGCTAGTTGTACACAAATCAATCTTTCAATCGAGTTGTGTGCAACCAGTCTGTTGAAAAATTTCTCTCAATCAGTGATGCCAGCTATAGCCAGTGGTGCTGATCAGAGTATCGGGATGGTTAGGAAGTCTCCTCACTGCCAGAATACTATAGCGCAGAAGGAGGATTGCCCCATCCACACACTCGCTGGTCGAACAAAAAAAATCATTAATGTATGGGCTGTCTTAGTCTCCTAAAAAGGTGCAAACTCCCAGCTTCATATGATGGTGGCTGTGCCCTCTGCTTTCACATCCAAGACTCCTCTGCTGTGATGCAGTACATGGAATTTACATACCATGTTTATACCAAAATGGTCACTGAAATCTTGCGAAAGCTTGAAATCTAGGATGCCCAGGATGGAGGAATATTACCGGTAGTTCTTTGCTGGAATCCCCTTAGGAAAGTTCCTTCTGGCAAAGTGTTAGCTTTCTGTCTATATTCTGTTTTTCTGTTTGCAAAAATACATGTGTAAAGTATTGAAAGTGTTTCATTAACCGCCTCCCACCTGCCATATAAGGTAATGATGGGCGCAAGGCGGTTCTCTCGTTCTGGGAGGACGTCATATGACGTCTTCCCATTCTAACCATGCATGCGCGGCTCCGGAAGAGAGGAGAGCCGGTAATTGGCTTTACTCAGAGGGGACATGTACACTGATCATCAGGGCACTGATGATCAGTGTGCCCTGATGATCAGTGTAGCCCCAGCAGTGCCACCTGTCAGTGGCCATCAGTGCCAGCTGTCATTGCTCATCAATGCCACCTGCCAGTGCCTATCAGTGCCACATCAATGCCACATATCAGTGACTACCAGTGCACATCAATGCCACATATCAGTGCCCATCTGAGCTGCCTTTCAGTGTTACCTATCAGTGCCGGTCAGTGCCACCTATCAATGCCAGTCAGTGCTACCTATCAGTGCTGCCAATCAGTGCGCATCAGTGCTGCCCATCAGTGCTGCCTAACAGTGCCACTTAACAGTGCCAGTCAGTGCCACCTAACAGTGCCAGTCAGTGCTGCCTATCAGTGCCACCTACCAGTGCCGCCTATCAGTTTCATATATGAGTGCTGCCTTTCAGTGCCCATCAATGATGCCTGTCAATGCCCATCAGTGCCACCTACCAGTGCCTCCTCATCAGTGCCCATCAGTGCCACCTATCAGTGTCCATCAGTGTAGCCTATCAGTGCCCATCACTGTAGCCTCATTAGCGCACATCAGTGAAGGAGAAAAATCACTTATTTATACAATTTCATAACAAAGACTAAGAAAAAACTTTTTTTTTTCAAAAATTTCAGTGGTTTTTGGTTTGTTTAAGAAAAAATAAAAAACCCAGAGGTGAATAATACCACCAAAAGAAAGCTCTATCTGTCACAAAAAAATTATAGAAATTTCATATGAGTACAGTGTTGCATGACCACGCAATTGTAATCCAAAGCGCGACAGTGCTGAAAGCTGAAAATTGGCCTGGGCAGGAAGGGGGTATAAGTGCCCTGTAGGTGAGTGGTTAAAAAAAAAAAAGATCCTCTGTGCTAGGGTTTATGTGTGTCTGTGAGATTGTCACTTGTGGTTCAAGTAGCTAAGGAGTATTTTTGGGTACAGAAACCGTGGCAGATGCATATAGTATATGCAGTGATTATGTCTGAACTCTATTTAACCATTCCCCTTTAGGCTAGTGTAGCACTACCCTCTTCAGGGCCGATGTATTCATTTGCATCCCCCTAAGCTCTGCACGGCCAGGCAACACGCATCTTAAACACTTGCACATTCAGAGTCAGTAAACAGTCCTTGAGCTGTTTTTTTTAGTTTTGTTTTTTTTTAAGGACTTAACAACTTGGATGGGGGTCTAGTGGTAAATGGGATGATCAAGGTAGTAAACGCAAGAAAAAACTTCTTAACAACAATACTGTACAAGAAAAGTGGATCAAAAATAGCAACTGTCTCTGTTAAGGAGCACTGAAGTCCCCTTGGTGTACCTCCTCAGACCCCAGATGAATCCTCCTCTTCACCTAACTGCACTGAGGGTATCTCTGGCCAACGGATTCCAAGATCTGCCAGTTAAGTAGTTAAGAACTAGTTGGGTATTGCACCTGACCACCCTCTCCCTTTATCTGGCCCAGGGCGTGTAGAAGCACTCACACTGTCCTGTGCTGTTTGCTTGGTGGGTTGAAGCTGTTTTCAGACCTTTCGCTGGCCCCATATACTTTGACAGGTTGTGATCTCTACAAGACAGTGGGACAGTGGAGATCCTTCTGTCCATCAACCAGCCTGTAGTAAGCTCCCCTCCCTGGGGCCTCTTCCCAGGCTCCACACTCCAGCCTTCCTCTCAATCCATCTTCCACCCAACTCTGCACTCTGCTCCCCAGACTCCTTCACATTTAAGGGTTGTCCTTGGTCAGCATGCCCGGCCTCCTACCTTAAGGTCCCTCAAACATGCAGATCTGGGCCTTCTCCCCTCCCCTGCCCCTCTTCCAGAAAGTGCTCTGAGTTTCTGGAAGGGTTCCAGAAGCCCTGGCCTGTAGAGCCTCCCAGCCTGCCTGAGGTGAACTCCTGCCTCACTCCCAGGCTGATTTATCCCAAGCTACTACCCAGCCTCTGTCTAAAAACAAAACAAAACAAAACAGCAAGCCTAGCTACATAGAGGGCGCTACACTAGGTTTACACTGCTGCAATCTGATTTTGATCCAACTTTCAGTGTGATTATGTGATGCAACTTGGATGCTACTTTGATGCTACTTTGACGTGGTTTGCATATTCTATGGTGCCAAAATCATGCTGGAATCGCACTAACATAGTACAGTATTGAATTCCATTGCCATGCAATTTTGAGCAACTCAAGTTTCACTAGTGTAAATGGAGCCTTAAGCTTCCCCCAGTATTCAGTGCAATGTGGCTGTGTTCTACAGTTAGAAGCAGGGGCGGACTAACTATTTGGAAACTTGGGCACTGCCCGAGGGCCTGGGGTCAGTAGGGGGCCCCATAAGATGCCCCTGGTACCTTTTTCATAGGCTTTTTTTTTAGGCAAGGACACACAGGGGCCCCATGATCCCCTATTGCTCAGGGGCCCCAGTCCGCCCCTGAGTTGTCAGTCCACCCCTGGTTAGAAGGTATAATTAGGGAGTATTTATTTTATTTATTACAGGTACTTATATAGCACCGGCAGTTTGCGCAGCGCTTTCACATCAGTCCCTGCCCTTAAGGAGCTTACAATCTAAGGTCCCTAACACACATTCACAAGCTAGGGCCAATTTGGACAGGAGCCAATTAACCTACCAGCATGTCTTTGGAGTGTAGGAGGAAACCGGAGAAAACCTATGCAGGCACGGAAAGCATGCAAACTCAGGTCAGGCAGTGCCATGGTTTGGATGTGAACCAATGACCCTAGTGCTGCCTGGCGGAAGTGCTAACCACTTAGCCACTGTGCTTCTTATGTACAAGGAATGGGGCATTGTGTATGGTATATCCTGTGTGTAGGCTCAGATTGCAATAAGTAGAGAATCAGCCACATGATCAGACAGAGGGGATAGCTTTAACTTGAACTTTCCTAAACAGGTACAGAGTAGGAATAAAGGATAAGTTCAGCTTTGGGAACATGTTACACATTCCACCCGTTTTTAGGGGGGGGGGGGGCATATAATATGTTCCCATATTGCAGACGCCCCCCCGCCCTCTTACAGATAGTACAGGGAGAGAAATCTTCCCGTACTATCTGTCAAATTTGAAAACAGCTTGGCCGTGCTGGGCTCCGTCCACACAGCCTCATCATTCATTCACGGACTTACATGAATGAACTGGAAGTCCTGCCAACCTTAGTGGCTGTGGGCTTATAGTTTTCAATGAACTACCACAGCACTGTGGAGCCCCATGGTAGTTCACTGAAGCTTCCTGTCAGTATATCTGCTTGCTCGTACATCCCTATATGGTCCTTGTTTTCCTAAGGTGTCCCTTATTCTCAAGTTTGGAGGTATACTGTTAGTCACGAACTGACATGACTAGTTGATATGGACGAGGAACTGTGTTTGTTTTCTGCTTTGCTGCATAAATGTGCAGGACAAAAACCTGCTTGGACTGTTCCTGGATATCCCTTGTTCATATATAATTTACTACTGCCAATTCCAGTTGAGGCTCTCCCCCTTAACCACTTGTTGCCTATGTAATGCATATGTGCAGTTGCAAAGATGGTGGGCTTTAATGCCCACATGCCACATATATGCGTCCACGGGCAGCAGAATTTTGTGAGCTTTGAGCGTGCTGCCAGCACTGTGGACCAAGTTATTAAAGACAGCTCTTGTGGTCCGCACTAATGATCAGGACCTTGATCCTTCCTGCCACTCGAGCTTACAGACCTCCTGTACAGGGATGCCAAGAGCGGGGCGGGAAGGGGGTAAACAAGGTATAAGAGAACAATATACAGTTGTGGCCAAAATTATTCAACCCCCACTGAAATTGAGTGTTTTGGCCAGTTTGACATTGCTTTTGATCATTCAGTCATCTTGCTTACATTTACATTAAAGAGGCACTTGTAGGTCAGAACAAATATAACATAACAGTTATAATGAAATAACCACAAATGTCTTTTCTGTGCTCACAGCATTATCAGTTTTATTCAACCCCCCAAGTGACATTCAATCTTAGTACTTAGTACAGCATCCTTTTACAGTTATAACAGCTTTTAAACGTGAAGCATAGCTTGACACAAGTGTCTTGCAGCGATCTAGGGTTATCTTCGCCCATTCTTCATGGGCAAAGGCCTCCAGTTCAGTCACATTCTTAGGCTTGCGCACTGCAACTGCTTTCTTTAAGTCCCACCAGAGGTTCTCAATCGGATTTAAGTCTGGTGACTGCGATGGCCACTCCAAAATTGTTTCCCAGCCTTTCCTCTGCAACCATGCTCTAGTGGACTTGGAGGTATGCTTGGGATCATTGTCCTGTTTGAAAGGTCCAACGTCTCCCAAAGCCTCAGGTGTGTGACGGACTGCATCACGTTTCCATCCAATATCTCCTGGTACTGAAGAGAATTCATGGTACCTTGCACACGCTGAAGCCTTCCCTGTACCTGCAGAAGCAAAACAGCCCCAAAGCATGATTGACCCTCCACCATGCTTCACAGTAGGCAAGGTGTTCTTTTCATCATAGGCCTTGTTCTTCCTCCTCCAAACATAGCGTTGATCCATGGGCCCAAACAGTTCTAATTTTGTTTCATCATCCGTCCACAGAACACTATCCCACAACTTTTGTGGTTTGTCCACATGGCGCTTTGGCATACTGCAGTCGACTCTTCTTATTCTTTGGAGACAGCAAGGGGGTACGCCTGGGAGTTCTGGCACGGAGGCCTTCATTACGCAGTGTGCGTCTTATTGTCTGGGCTGAAACTTCTGTACCCACATCTGACAAATCTTTTCTCAGTTCCTCAGGTCACACGGGGGGACTTCTTCTCCACTCTACGCTTCAGGTAGCGCACAGCAGTCGAAGTCAGCATCTTCTTTCTGCCACGACCAGGTAGCGTTTCAACAGTGCCCTTTGCCTTGAATTTGCGAATGATGCTTCCTAAGGTGTCTCTTGGTATGTTTAACATCTTTGCAATCTTCTTATAGCCATTGCCCTTCCTGTGAAGAGAAATCACCTCTTCTCTTGTCTTCCTGGACCTTTCTCTTGCCTTCACCATGTTTGTAACCCACACCAGTAAATGTCTAGAAGGAGCTGAGTATCACAGTCATTTTAAAGCTGCCTAATTGGTGCTTATTATGCTTGATTGCTGCTCGGTGACATCCACAGGTGTTTTCAATACCTGATGGAAAGCACCTGTATGAACCTCTGTTCTTCAGAGTGGTAGTCTTTAAGGGGTTGAATAATTGTGGCAATGAAGAAACCACATAAGAACCATTTACTACTGTATTACATAAACAATTGATGTCATTTTAGTTGCATTTGGGTAGTTACAACGTCCTTGTAGGATTTGATTCTGAATACAATTCCAAATGTACACTATAGTCCCTAAACCCCTTTACAGCATTGGGGGGTTGAATAATTTTGGCCACAACTGTACATAGAAAGGGTACTGGATGGTATGTGTTAAATGTGGTCTGGGGGGCTAG